GACAGTTCTCAAGATGGGTTATCAATATTCCTAAAAACTTTCATCTGTTCCTACCTGATAGGAAACCAACATTCCTTACTTGTGAATTTTTCATGAGTTAGCTGGGGCTACTGCCCCTTATACCATCCCTCAAATTAATGCTAACTACCAGTACCCACCCAAGAATCTATTTCCTGCTTCTTGTGAAAATGGAACATATCCTTATATTCTATAAGCCTGATCCAGACCCTTCCAAGATCCCATGGACATCCCCCTCCTCTACACAACCACTTTTTACTACTTTCAGAGGCCCTGTTCCTGAAGCCCTTCTGATCAGCAAACACCTTTTGAGATCTTAACTTGTCTGGGCTATTCTTGTGTCCACCTTTCTAAAATCTTACAAGCCATCTTTCAAAATAATCTATTCCAGAGCCATCAAAAATTAAAATTAGGGCTGGGAATGTGGCTTAGTGGTAGAGTGCTTGCCTAGCATGCATGAAGCCCTGGGTTCCATTCCTTAGTACCACATAAACAGAAAAAGCAGGACGTGGCGCTGTGGCTCGAGTGGTAGAGCGCTAGCCTTGAGTACAGAGGGGCTCAGGGACAGAGCCCAGGCCAGGAGTTCAAGCACCAGGACGGGGGTGGGTTGGGGGTGGGGTGGGCAGGAAGTAACATAGTAACATTAAGGGCTGAGGTATGTGGCACAAGTGCTAGTGCATCTGCCTAGCAAACACAAGGCACAGTTCAAACCCTACTACTGCAAATAATTTTTTTAGAGAAGAATGAATTAGCATGAAGATTATGTGTTTATAATGCCTAAAATCTCTGAAAAAAAAAAACTACATTTCTTGGCAGTCTTTTGTCTTCTGGATGCCTTACTCAACATAACATTCTCTAAAGATTGATGGGACACACAAGTGGTGCAGAGGGCCCAGGGTCAGGTAGGGCAGCTGACTGGCTCTCCTTTCCCTAGTTTATCCCTTCTAGTACACCAGGACCCAATGGTTGTTCTCTTTGTTGCTAGTTATAGTCCCAAACTTGTCATCCTACCCCTTCTCTCTCATTCTTGTGGGGAATGTACAGAAGACTTATTACCAGGTGTATTTTCCACCAGCTTCAGCATATTCTGACCAATGAACTTTCCGATGTGCCTGTGAAGGCTCAGCCCACTCCTGCACCTGTCTTCCGTGCCTTGAACCCCAGCATTCACGACCTTTACCATCTGTGCTCAGTAGAAAGTAACCCTGCGGCCACACAGATGGTTCATCTTTCCCCACTGCCACTACCTTCCTCCATAGGCTACCATTCCTGACTGTTCTATCAGCATTTCCTTTTTAAAAACCAATCCTATCCCTCCAGCTGGCCTCCCTTTTAGAGTCTGTGGCTTTGGGGTTAAAAACTACTTGCATTTCAAAGACAAGGTTCTAAAGTCTCTGGTAAACACTTCCCCTTGCCCAGTGTTTCAGGCTCCACAAATGCCAAGATGGTGCCTCTTTCTCCAAAGATCTCATCCCTTTCTCCACCAATCAATTCTCCCTTTGTTACTAACAGCATCATCCTTCCTTACAGCTTCTGTGCTTAGAAAGAGAGCTACCAGCAGACTGGGCAAGAATTAATGTTTTATGATTGTTTTTTTTTTAAACACACACAGACACACACACACACACACAAACCCCTAGTTCCAAGGTAGCTTGTCTGTATCTGGCAGAAAGCTGTGTTTCAGCCATTAAATCCTCCTGGTGGAGGGTTAGAAAATATTCTCAACCCATGTATCTTTTCATTTTCACTGATGTTTTCTTAGTCTTGTTTCCAGCTTGATGTACATATTTTTCTATGTAGAGGGTTGTTTTTTGTTGTCTCCCCCCCCCATAACATTCTACTCAATTGGATCTTTATTTCTTCACCAATGGGCGATTAATCAGACAGGCCCAGGACCACGATGACTCTTTGTGCATGGCATTCAGCCTCTTCCCCTATGTTCTGTCCCACAGTTCTTTCAGCAAGCCAGGAATGTCTTGAAACATGTAATTTGTATTGCAAGTTTACAACTCAGATTAATGCACAGTTGTTTAAACAGTTTCTCTTTCACTGTTCTGTACACCCACTAGGATTACCCCTATTTTACATTTGAGAAAAACAATGCTCAAAGATTAACTTATCCTGGTCTACTTTGAGTCCTACTCTGCCGCCATATCAAGTCCTACTATTCTAATCAGCTGTCTTCATTCTGCTATGAGCCACTGTTCAGATAAATAGATCGCAAGTCAAGCAGCCTAGTATCTAACTCCTTCCTGGAATTAGGCTTGTAGACCATGGCACATGACTGAACTCCTTCTGGTATGTTACCTACAGCTACCACCAACTTTTCCCCAAAATCACATTAGGACCTGAAGAATAGGTCACCTGTCCCTGGGAAGCTGTCTCTAGTCTCAAAATGCTGAACTACTTTTTCAAGTAGAAGGATTCCCCCAGTCCCCTCCCCCAAAGCTCACTGGGAGGTGGGAGAAGGATAAAGAATACGAATGGAAGACAAAAAAAAGATAAATCTTCTCCCTTACAGGATGATACAAGGCAGCTGTCAATGGAAAGCTCAAAGGAAGCCCCAAAGGCAGCTAGAAGAAATGGAGCTACGGCAAAGGAAAGGGCACACCATTCTAAATGAGGAGGAAATTCCAAGGAGAGATATGTGTAAACAGTCTAATTTCTGAGGTTCCTTGGATGATGTGTCCTAGCCCACCAGAAGAGTCAGGGCCAAAATGACTTCTTCAGACCTGGCATATGGTCTTTCTGCAATCTCCCAGGGCTGTTAAATACTTTGCTCAGACAGTCAGGTATGTCTCAGTTCTGCAACTATGCCAGAGACAGTTGAAAGAGGTGGCTCTTGGATAGTGGTTCTCAAGCCTTAAGCCTTCAGTTAAGCCTTCAGTTAAAAAAAATGTGGAGAGAACCACTAGTTTCCATTTTACATTTTACTAAGCAAAGATTAAACAAATAAAAATAAAACAGATCTTTCTGTACACACCTACACTTTGTAAAAGAAAGTGCATTTCAAATATCCAAAAAGGACCTAGCCTTAGGACAGAAAACTCTTTAAATCAAGGAAAATAAGCCTTAGGGAAAGAATTTCTCTCCACTCTCCCATGGCACTATTTTTATAGAAACCAGGTGCCAGCCCAGATTCACAGACCTGCATGTAGACCCTCTGTCCTAGGACACTACAGGCCATTTTACCTCAATTTGGGAAACAAGGGGGACTGCCAGTCATAGCAAGGTCCACAGAGTGCAGATCTCTCTCACTTAGCTAGGTTGTCTGGAAGCCTCAGCCAACCCAGATCTAAGTTATCTTTACCATGACCACCACACAGCCTGTACCGGCAGCTTATACACAGAGATGACAGGTCCTGGCCTCACTCCCAGCCCCTTTCACTCAGGTATGCCCTGTTGTTGCCAAAAGTAGCACTTAACACCATCCACAAGGGTCACTGATTCAAGAGCATCAGCCTATAAAACTCAGCCTCCTAACCCCTCTGGTTTGATTATGAGAGGAATGGAATGAGGGAGTGGAGGAGGAAATGAATACTAGAAAGAAGGCACTAAGTTTTACAATGTACGCGGAGAAGGTCTTCCTTTCACCAGAACACCAGACTTCATGCCCAGAAGTGAGACTTGTACCAGATCCCAGCCCTTTCAAAATGACCTGCAAGGCACTGGGCCAGTGGTGCTAACCGCCCTCAAGACCAGCAACTTAAAGGGAGTAGAACACTATCTCCCAGGCTGGGGTCACAAGCTGTAGATAAGATCCAGATGTCTGCTTTGGTAAGTACAGAAAAAGGGCAGTCTGTGGTCTGAATCACAAAACATAGCATCCACAGCAAATAGACACAGGAAAGTAAAAAGGGAGGGAAATTTTCAGCACCACCATTTCCCTAACCTCCAACATTTGGATCCTTTTCCCTAGCCACAGAACCACAGCCCCACAAGCTTGAGGCAGGGCTCTGCACTCAGCGGTCAGGGAAATCCCAAGTGCATGCCGCCAGTCCATGATAGCCACAGGTGCCCTAGCCCTCAGAGCGTGAAGCTCGCAGGTCAGCTGAGGAGGCTTCAAAGGCCATCAAGTACAACTCTTCTATTTCCCCAAGGAGAAGACAGTCCTGAGTTGTCTGGGCTCTCAGATAAATCAGTGACAGAGCCAGGGGAGCCTTGTAGACCGCTCAGGACTATGTCTCTGTCCAGCGGCAGTTCCGCTGCCTGAAGTGACCTCAGCTGCTATACCGCTCTGCCTAATCTGCTCAACTTTGCTTGTCTGTTCTTCTGCCAACACCCCACTGTCTCAGCTGCCACCAATCTCGTGCCAGCAATCCACCACCAGAAAATAAGAGAAAGATGGCCAATGCAGGCTCACTCCCACCACCCACCCCTTGCTCATCCCAAATCCTTCTCACCTCCACCCCAAATACAGGGAGTTCTCCTCTTTGAGAAGACAGTATCTCAAAAGCACCATTAATGACCATTAGTATCTGGTGCCCACTACCGAATCTAGGAAATTCCCAAACTGTTTCAATCATCCTACTATCTGAGAAAAACTATGGCATTAAGGATTAAGGAAAGAACATCCCATTCCATAAGGTAGCATGAAATCGCTCTACACTCCACAGCTTACTTTCCAAAATACTTTGTCTGGCGTCATCACTGACCACATCACCTAGACATTTGTGTTTACTAGAAATGTAACCTTTGGGGCTTCAAGCCGATCAAGCTAGACATCACTGTCCTATATCAAGTGCAAACTTCAGACATGCGAATAGCACTGCCACTTGGTCACTCCCATATAATTGTCAGTCCTGCCAAGAAGCCTCCTGGGCTTGCAATGTCAGCTATGATTCTAGGTATGGCCCCACTCAAAGGCCAACCAAGGAGATCAGAAATGGGAGAATGGGCTGAACGAGATGCGACTCTTATCAGACTTCCATGATTACAACACTCTGGAGGAAAGGATGGGAGCCTAACAACGGCCAGCTTACCTCCTTGAGAAGCCCCACTTTTTTCTTCAGCATCTCACACTTGCGCAGCTTACAGATCTGGTGTGTGCGGCGATTGGTACAGCTAGTGCAAGCCCCGCAGTTTTCCAGCCGCCGGCAGGGCTCACAAGTCCCACACCGTTTCCGTTTCTTTCGCCCATCTCCACCCCCTCTCAGTTGGGCTTCACTCCCAGCCATGGAAACCCCAGGACCCTGGAAGCCCCCTACCATCACTTGGCCCTGAGGGAAGTCATAAAGGCCTGGCAGGTCTGGCTGGACCGCCAGGGGCACCTGAAACTGGCTCATGATGCTGATGCTACCAGAGGCGGGGGCATAGGTGCCAGGCAGAACCACAGTCCAGTTTTTTGCTGCCTGTAAGGTTCACCAACGGATTCTTCTTTCCTAAAACAGTCAAGATCTAAAGGGCAAAAGGCAAGGAGCTTCCGTGTCTGGGATGGGTGGCGCCTTTTAAGCCCTCTTCACCTCCTCTGCAGCAGTCTGACAGGGCTCCTTCCAGGGCCACCCTCCCACCTGCTGGGGCCCAGGATCTGGGGGAGGAGAGCAGCAGCAGCAGCCCCCAGGGAAGAGATCATCTTGGCTGGGTGGGTTCTTCACCCTCACCCACCCGGGACCCGGGCATGAGGTGAGAAAGGTGGGTGTGTGGTGGGGCAGAGCAGGGCGAGGAGTACTCTTCCCGGTATTGCTCCTCCGGGATAAGGATGATGAAGGCAGCAGCACTGCCTGAAAGAGACAGAAAGGGGAAGCGTATCACTCGGGGCTCAGGGGCAACTTTCACGTGTTACCTCTTCCTGCTTCGGGGGTGGAGGCGGGGGGAGAAAATGGGGGGAAAGAGGGACAAGCACAAACCAAGTCCTCCCCGGCACCTCAGGCAGGACGCACCAGGGAGGCGGCCTAGGGCCAGACTAAGTGCTAAGGGGGCCTTAGGCGACGAATTAAAGGGGTGATCGCGGTGGGATTTCTGAGAAAGTTGCCCTCTGCACTCCCAGCTTTAGCTTGAGTTTCACCTCCATCGCCCCACACCCCCTCACCGGGGACCGCGGGGCCCTGCCCAAGGGAGCGGAGCTTTCGAGATAAAGTTTGCTGAGCGCCTCGCTCCGCCGGGATGCCCCGCGCCCCCGGCACGGAAGCGGCCTTGGAGGTGGGGACGCGCCGGCGAGAGCCCGCGCCGGCCGCCCCGCAGCGCCTGCGGCCCGTCGGGGGAGGGCGGCCCGCGCCGCCGTGGGGGCGCGGGGAGGGGGGCGCGCTCGGGGCGCGGGCCGGGCTGCGCGCGCGCCGCCGCCGCCGCTCGGGCTCCTTTGTTCTGGGGCCTTGGCCGCTAGGCTCCGCCGGCTCCGCCGCCCCCGCCCCGCCGCCCCCGCCTGGCTTCGCGACACGGTGACCCGCAGCACCCTGCCCGGCCCCCCCGGCCACAAAGTAGCGGCCTCCCGCCCCCCCCCCCCCCGCCGGCCCGGGGCCGGACCCCCCCCCCCCGCCTCCCCTCCCCCACCCCTGGAGCCGGAAAGGCACCGACTGCACCGACCTGCCCGCCGCCTCTGGGGCGGAGCGCACAAAGGGGCAAAGTTTCCCGGCCCCAGGCCGCCGCCACCACCGTCGCGGCCGCCGCCGCCTGAGGCGTCCGCCTCCCGGAGCGCCCGGCCCAGCAGAGCTTGACGCGCGGAGCCCCCCGCCCGGGCCGAGGAGGGGACGGCGCAGGAGGAAGGAAGAGGCAGCGGCGGCCGCGGCGGCGGCAGCAGCAGCAATGAAGGCGTCCGCGGGACTCCCCGCCCCCCGCGCGCCGCGGCACGTGCTCGCCCGGGGACTCCCCCGCCCGGGAGGGCGCGCACGTGCGGCCCCGCCGAGCCCCGCCGGCCCCGCCGCCGCCGCCCCCGCCGCCGGGCCCGGGCCGCGCCACGGGGGGAGTGCCCGCGGAGGGGGGTTGGGGCGCGCGCTGCGGGCGGCTGGTAGGGGCTGGGCCGGGCCGCGCCGCTGGGTCTCTGCACCTGCGATCCGGTCCCACCCTCGCGGTTAGCCCTCTCGGGACTCCGCGGCCCCCCGTGGCTGCCCACCCCTGCCCTCCCGCGGCGCGGCAGCTGAGGCCAAGCGAGGTGGGGTGGAACACGCGGACCTCCAACCTAGGCCCTCGGCCTAGCGGGCCTCGGTGTCCCCACTTCCTGCCACTCCCTACGGGCACGAGCGGTCCGGGACGGCCCGGTCACCTCCACGAGCTCTGAGTCCGGGGGCCCGACTGTCCCCCTGCGGCTGCCGCTCGCGCATTCCGAGGCAGGACAATGGGGGGCATCGCGCGTTTGCGTACGAAGTCAGCCTGGCCCGCAAGAAGGGGGTGCCCGGAGGCCAGAGGCCGCGGGGCCACCGACTGGGCAACCCCTCGAGGGGATCACAGGCGAGCGCCCTTCCCAGGCGGACCCCGGGGCCCGGCCCCCGCAAGCTTCCCCCTCGCGCGGCGCTCGGTTCTTTTGCGTCGAAAACAAAGACTAATCCGATACCCCCCGCCCCTGCCTCCCAAAGGAGGGGGAACGGGACTGTCGGGGGGGGGGGGAGGAGGTACCCCCGGAGGACCGTGTTCTGAGGGGGGCTCAGACAACCTTTGTGGGACTCAATGGTGCGCCCAAGCCCTAAAACCGGGTGTAGACACTTTTGAAAAGTCGCCCTGGGCTATATTCCAGACAGAGGTGAAGGGGCAAGGAGCAAGCTGTATTTCCAAGTTACCAAACTGCCTATTTTCTGCTGCTTTTTCTTCACCTGTTGTGCAGGCCAAGTTGAAATTCCAGGTTAGATTAATTGAGCTCCACCCATCTGGCTTGACTGCCAGGCTGGTGCCCGAAGAAGCTGCCTTCCATCTACCTGGGTTGCTGTGGAGAAGGGTGGGTCTCTGACACACACGGGCAAGTCCTGGCAGTAACTGCTTTGGGTGGACTAGCCTGACCAGTTTGGGCGGTGCTCACCGAGCCAGGTACCTGGCAGGCATCCCGGTCCCGGCTGATGCTAACAACTCAGCCAGAACTGGAAAAAGAGCATTCGCCCCGGCTATTTAGAAAAAGAAGAAAGACAGGAAAAAAAAGTAACTGATCTGAAGTGTTGTCCAGAAAGCCCTAGGCAGTCCAGGTAGCACAGGTTGTGGGGAACTTCCCTCTTGCAGGCCTGATTTTGACAGCTTGCTCCGGTGGCTGGGCTGTCAGCTGTCAGGGTGGGTGGTGAATATGACTTCAATACCTACTTCCTACCCTTGGCCTTGGGAAGGATTGTTCAGTGAAGTAAGTCTAGAACTATGGTGCAATTTTCAAACAGAAGTTGTGGACTTGTATTTTCAGTATAATGATTCTTAGTGTTTTAAGTAAGTAATGTTTATTAAAGGAAACATGGACAGCACAGGTAATTTGAAGGGGGGAAAATCACCCCAATACAACTATGTTTAATGATTTACTACATTGCCTGCTAGCCTTTCTAATCCATAGGTGTTTACTTTTTAATTTTTTTTCTTTCTAACTTGATTTAATCACTGATTATGCAATTCACCTTACCGTGACACCATAAAAATCAGGTTCCTATTTGGTAATAATTCTGAAAAGGTAGTGTGACAATGTGAAGATGGCTTTGTCCACAGTTAACAGTGTGACCTTGAACAAGGTGCTCACCATCTCTGAGACAATCCAAAAAAAGCATTTAAAATAAGGCTCAATAAATAACTTCTTGTTTGAATCATAAATTAACCTTGTGAGGTAGATATCATCATCAAGCCCATTTTAGAGATAAGGAAACATGTAACTTTTCCAGGGTCACTCAGCCAGTAGGTCGTGGACTCAGAATTTGATACCAGCATCTTTCCTCCTGCATTCTGCCTTGGTAAGTGCAGAATTCATCAGATCATGAGGGACAGTAGGAGAACAGCAGCAAGCCAAGAGAACCACCCAAATTTAAGAGGGAACCAGGCTGCCAGAGAACTGCCTGCCAAGCCTTCCTAATCACTTCTCTCTCGGGAACTTTATGCTTCTTGAGGAAAGCCCTCCCCTTCCTCCCACCCTACTTCCCTACTCACCAGATTCCAACAAATCCTGCAGGTTTGAGCATAAATGTCAATTCTTCAAAGAGTCCTCCAGTAACTCAGATCCCAAAGCCTTAGGAACCCTGCACGGAACATCTCCCCACAGAACAGGTATGGGCATTGTAACTATTTTCAAACTTCCCTCCTAGTTACAGAGAATTCCTGGAGGGTAAGAGGACCTGTCCCTTTACCTGTAACCCTAGACCTAGCAACTGATCACCATGTGTTGAGTGAAGAACCAGGTCAGTAATGCCTGATCGGTGAAATATTCCACTAACACCCAGGATCCATAGGCTTCCAAGTTTCTTTTCTATCTTGTGTCTTACTACAAATCCTTACCCTTTAAGGGGTGCCCTCAAATAAAGTCCAAACTGCTTGGGTCCTGCTTTGAGGTCTTCAGCCTTCTGTGTAGCAGAGTTGTTCCTTACTAGTTCACTGCTCAAGGCAGGCAGGCAGGCAGGTAGGCAAGCAGTGGGGACAGCCCACAGCAGCAAAGTATGCCTCTCCTAGCAGCATTGGGGGAGTCTAGCATTTTCTGCTACAACTGCCCCAGGATCAGCAGTAGCATTATCACCTGGGAACCAGTGAAAAACTCTACATGGGCCCCACCTAAACCTACTGAATCAGATAATCTCCTAGTGGGACCTAGCAATCAATTGTTTAACAAGCCCTTAGAAGAGGCACTAAGCTAGAGGAAACAGTAAGAAGCAAGTTCAGCACCCAGCTGGAAGCTAGGGGCTAGGGTCAGGATAAGGACAGCTGGGTGGAACAATAAAGAAAGTTTGTAACTTCATTGAAATATTGTGCCAAGGAAAGTGACCAGCAGCATAACTGGATGTATGTATGTGCATGTATGTATGTATGTATGTATGAGCTTTTGTAAGTGATCTCAGAGCCAACACTGCTGGGAGCTTACTGAACCTGCAAATGGTTGAATAAAACAAACCTCAGGGCTGGGAAGGTGGCTCAGTGGTAGAGCGCTTGCCTTGCATGCATGAGGTCTTGGGTTTGATTCCTCAGCACCACATAAGCAAAAAGAAAAAAGCTGGAAGTGTCACTGTGGCTCAAGTGGTAGAGTGCTAGCCTTGAGCTGAAGAGCTGAGGGACAGCACCCAGGCCCAGAGTTCAGGCCCCATGACTGGACACAAAAACAAAAACAAACCTCATAGGTACTTGGCCCTACCTCTTGTCATCAGCTAGTAAATAATAGGTTCTTTATGAAGGATAACATATTTATACGGGCACTTTTTAAGAAATGTAACTATACTTTTTAAGAAATGTAACCTGGACTTGGTTTTAAAGACTGAAGATTTTAGAGGTTTATTTACATTTGGATGTATTTTTAATTCTGAGCATATAGTCAGTTTATGCTTGCAGTTTTTCCATTTCATTATTGTTCTGTTTGAATAGTGGCTCAAACAGAAACTGTGAAAAAGTTACCTTACTTTTATATTGCATAGTTATTATTATCATAATTTTTCAGATAAAGGTCCTAGGTATCAGAATTTATTTGTCCAAGATCATTCACTTATTGAGTGACAGAATCAAGCCTACAATCAAGGCCTCTGAAATTAGCCTACTAATTTCACTAGGGCTGAGATGGAGAAGACATTTTTTACTTTTGGGGAAAGGGAGGCTCATTGGCATGGGTGTGTTGGCATGTATAAATTATCCAGACTTTTTTGGTAGTTTAAAAAAATGCCTTTGTTCTTTATAACAAATTTTGTGATTGCATTTTGAATTTAGTTGAATAAAATAGACTATATTAGCTGGGTGCTGGTGAATAATGCCTGTAATCCTAGCTACTTTGGAAGGCTGAGATCTGAGGATCATGGTTCAAAGCAATCCCAGGCAAGAAAGTCCATGAGACTCTCATCTACAGAAAACTAGAAATGGCACTGTGGCTCAAAAAAAGTTCAGGGACAGTGCCCAGGTCTGAGTTCAAGCCCCACGACTGACAAAAAATAAAAATAAAAATAAACCATTTGCAGGTTCTTACCAAGGAAACACAAAGATAACCATCATAATGGTAAATAAGTGAAACCACCTGGAAACCTTCCAGTCTGAAGGGTCTAACAGGAAGAGAAGAGATTTGCTCCACCCAGAGACCCAGGTTTTATCCCAGCTTCTAAACCTTGATTGACAGGATCAGTTATGTTGTGTACAACAGCAAACAACCCTCAGTTCTCAATGGTTACACATAACAAAAGCATATTTCCCAATCAGTAAATTTGTCCATTATGGTTCAGTAGGAGCTTTGTTCCCATAGTTACTGCTGGACCCACACTGCTGTGACTGGACCTGTGTCCCTTCAACTTGGAAGTCAGGAACCAAGGGTACGGCAAGACAAGCACTTGTTATTTAATTTCGCTGGTATTAGGGCTTGAACTCAGGGCCTAAGTGATGTCCCTTAGCTTTTTGCTCAAGGCTAGCCCTCTACCACTTGAGCCACAGCTCCACTGCTGGCATTTGGGTAATTACTTGGAAATAAGAATTTCATGCACTTTCACAAAAAATAAAAATAAAAATCTAAAAAAAAGAAAAAAGAATTTCATGCACTTTCTTGCCTGAGCTGGCTTCAAAC